AAAAATATAGCTTTCTTTTAAAAGTAGTAACTATCCTTTAAAAAATAATGCCAGATTTATTACCTTATGACACAATAACTCAGTGAAGCATTTTCAAAAATTCAAGATTGTAGCTAATCACATCTAAAGGACAAATTAGAATCTTTACTCTCTGCTGATACCAAAGTGGAGCAGAATGTCAGTGAAGCACAGTGATGGGTTCTGAATGTGCCTAATAGATTTTTGGCACTAACGTTCAGTAATAATGGTGATTTGAGCAAAGTACACTTTGATGCTGGATTTACACTATTTGACACTGACTGCTCCCCAGTTTTCAAAGCTGTGTGCATTTCTTAAAAGAGTTTAAGGAAAAAATATCGAACATTAATAAGAAGCCTGTATCTACGGGCTGCGTTTAGATAATTAAGATGTGAAATATAAAGTCTGTACCCTAAGGATCTTAAGAACCTGTAATCATAAATAAAAAATTAAAGTATTAAACTAATGTGCACAGGAAATATTAGGAGGCAGAGAATGGGGGGGAGATAAAAATCAGACATATATAATGTGTACTTACTTATCTGGTAGTACTAAGTGTAATATATTTTACAAACTTAATGGAATAAAGTCTTACCTAAAATATTAATTAGGTTTCCTTTTTTTTCTTTAATGGTCAATAGAAAGCTGTAAAATAGTCTAAAACCAAACAAAGAAATAAAAAAATCCTACTTTTATGAAAATCTGTTCCATGAATGTTGTTGATCATTCAAGAGTCACATACAAATAAAGTAAACCAGTTTGATGACCATTTACCATTAAATTATAAACATGTTGTGACAGTTGAGACTTATAAGCTTTATTATTTTCTCTAACAAATTCTGAACTTGGTATGGGAGTCTAGATTGACCTTACACCAAGGTTTTTGCCAGATATAAATAGGTAGTTCTCAATGAAGTAGCTGCGTTTATATTATAAATGTTTGAAAGTGGGTCTAGTCTGAGCTTGCTAGATAAAGAATGATTCTATTTCTGAAACTATAATTCAAGGTAAGGTTTTATAACTATGTGATACAGTGTATCATTCCTGGATAATTCATATATTTCTATTAATAATTTCAAGAGGCTAAGCAACTTTTCACTTTTATGATTCTCAAGAAAAAATATGGCATTGCAAAATGTCTGTTTCTCTCACAAAGTCAAACTTAAGATATTCTAGAGTTCCAGAATCTCCAAAGACCAAATGTGCAATGACGAGTACTAAATTACCAGGCATGGTTTTACATTCTTAAATTTAAAAATGGATAAAATTTCACATTTACATGCATTAACACCCCAGCCAGGAATCAACTTACTAATTTTTTTTTGTTGTTGTTCCACTATAGGATTTTATAAGACCGAAAGTGAATATGCAAATTATAAGAGACCAGGCAAGGTATACTTTGAACACTCAGCCCAGAGTCCCCGAACTAATAATTGAGATTGCTAACTTTGATCTTCAGCCTGGCATGACGTTGTTTGTCTTGCACTAAAATAAATATGCTGCAATTAAATGGTGGGTTATCATCCCCAGTGAATTATATATATTTTTACATTGAGTTTCATAGCATAGTCCTAACATGCAAACATTAGATCGTACTACATTCCTTTTGATGCTGTCATATCTTTGCTAAGCTGGTTTTCAGTAGTTACTATATTAAAAGTAATTACTGGGGAAAATAAATATGGAATAGGAAATAAGGTTGGTGATGTTCTATCTGATTTCAAGATTTGAGAATTTGGGCAGTGCCCAAAATAGAAGGTAATATGGCTATTTAAATTTAAAAAGTATTTTTTTTTCAGAGTTTATGTATGATTTTTTTCAAATATCTACAGTGTTGTTAGAATATTAACGTTTATTAAGTTGGTTGGATTTGAGTACTAAATTAAAAAAAAAAACTTAGAGATTTCTTCAGCTTCCAGTGCCGTGAAGGAATTGCTGAGATGCTAAAGACACTGTGTCCAGAATGAGTTTGTGACACTATGTTATAATAATTAAATGATTAAACATAGAGCACTTGGTTAGACTTAATTCCAGTCACTATGCAAACTTAAAACATGCTCTTCAAAAATAAATACCATATTACTAAAATTATTCAAAAGAAACATATAAGTGAAATTTTCATATATTTATGCAATTAGAGGAATAAATTTACTTAAATACAAGATTTTAAATTGGAATTCCTAACTTTGTAAAATGGATTAAGTTTGTGTCTATGAGCACAATTATGACTTTCCCTTCTGATCAAAATATTTAACTTTCATCAACAAGTTAACACTAAAGCAAGGAAAAAGAGATATTTAAAATCTGAGTTAAAAACGATCTGCTTTTGAGATAGAAGTACATTATTTCTGAATATTTGTTATACTATTTACAAGCTAAGCTATAAAATATAAAATAGTTTTATACAAACATGCTTAACATAATTTAACCTAATTTGAAGCTAGTTCAAGACCATTTCTTCACATTAAATATAGGATGAATACATTCTAAACTTTAACCCTTGAAAATATAAGGGAAACTGTTACTATAGCTCATTTGGTTATAGTGTATATTTCTTATTCAGGATGATGTTTTAAAGTTGGTCTGAGAAAGTGCAGTTTAAATGCATTAGAAATCTTCTGGGGTGTAAAAGGCAACAGGATAAGGAAAAACCTAGATGCTCTTGTTTAAGCACAGATGATGTGAATTTAAGGAGTCCCTGGGTAGTACAAATGCTTAACGCACTTGGCTGCTAACCAAAAGGTTGCAGGTTCCAGTCTACCCAGAGGTACGTTGGAAGAAAGGCCTAGTGATCTACTTCTGAAAAAATCAACCACTGAAAACCCTCCGGAGCACAGTTCTACTCTGACACACATGGGGACACCATGAATCAGAATTAACTCAATGGCAACCGGTTTGGATTTTGGTTTTATGTTTTTAACATAATAGGTTTGACAGATAGAATCTAGGCATAGGTTGGTTATGCATGTCACACATTTGTCTCTATTGTCCAAATAAAAAAAAAAAAAACAGGTGACCTACTTGGAAAGAAATGTGCAAAGAAACTTAGAAAAAAACTTTTCTATAGCTGTATTTAAATATTTTATTAATTTTGTGAACCCAGTATTTGGTAGTACATACAACGTATTTCAAAGGACAATGAGAACAGAAGATGACATTTGAAAACTGGTGAGTGAGTTGCTGATGCCGCAGGAAAGTTTTTCATGTCGTTTTCCTTACTACACTTTTAGATTGAGGAAAATCTTGCTATAATAATTCTCAGGTCATGTTCCATAGTTATATTTTTTTTAAATTGAGATTATTTTATTGCATCGCCTTTATAAAGGGTCCTAAGCGAAGAGACCTATTTTCAATTAGTACATATGTAGAAATATAAAAAAATTGCAGGCAAAATCAAACAATCTCTTAGATTTTCTCCTTAAATTTGGCTCTATGAGAACTAAAAATAGGCTATCTTGTTTACCTCACAATCCACTGGCACATCCACCAAAAAAAAAAAGTTACCATCAAGTCGATTCTGACACACAGTGACCCTATAGGAGGGGGTAGAACTGCCTCATTAAGCTTCCAAGGAACGATTGCTGGATTGAAACTGTCGACCTTTTAGTTAGCAGCCGAACCCTTAACCACTACACCACCAGCACTCCTCAGGCCCTGTTAAATTAATACTTGCTGAAATAATGTCCTTCAAAAACACGAAAAAGCCAAGCCATTAGTTGATATGGTGTGATCATCTAATTCTCCTTTGAATTGCATTCTGACTACTTTCCTGTTAACTTGGTTCAGGGGAATAGTGCATGAGTGTTCCTTCATTGAAGACTCAGTATTCTGGGGTAGGGGGCAGAAAGTTAACAAACACATATGCTGATTAATGTGAGTGTAGTCAAGTTACCTGACAACTAGCTCTTAAGAAGGAAAGCCGTCACTATTAACTTACAATTAATGATAAAATATATATAACATTTTAGTATTGTTACTCAGATATATATGTATACGTATGTATATATGAATAACAATAGTAACAACACTAAAATGCCACCAAAAAACCAAACCAAACCCGTTGCTGTCGCATCAATTCCAAATCATAGTGACCCTAAAGGACAGAGTAGAACTGCCCCATAGGGTTTCCAGGGAGCACCTGATGGATTCAAACTGCCACCCTTTTGGTTAGCAGCCATAGCTCTTAACCACTACGCCACCAGGGTTTCCTAAAATGCCACAGAGAAAAACAGTATGTATTTTTTAATTTAGAAATTATTTTAATTTATCCTCCATTAAGAACTATAAGCAAATATTTAATCAAAGGCAATGTTTGATTTGATATACATATTTTTTATATCCTTTCCCAGTAAAAGCCACAAAGAATTAATTTGAAGGGAACAGTAGTTGTGATGAATTTTGACAATCAAGTCAACAGAAAAAAATCCAATTGCATTTAAAACCTGGAGATTGTTCACATACTAATGCAGCTGAGGAGAGTAGAAGCTGTCACTCAGAGAAAATAATATGATGACTTTCAGAATCCCATTTCACTTTGCAGTTAGAGCCATTCGCTACTACTGAGGTCAATGTGTGAATCAGATCAACTGAAAATGAGAGACAATATCAATCTGCAATCATCGCCCACAGAGTAACTGCGCAAACATACAGGATACAAAATATTTTATTTACTTGAAACTGACAGACAAATTTGAGCAAATTAAAAAAAAAGAATACACCTTCATGGTCAACATAAATATTTGGTCGCTTTGTGTACAAGTCACAATCCCACAGGAATTTTGTGAATCATATGATCATAGTGAGATACTTTTTTTTTTGGTCAAAAAGAATTAAATTACATATCTGACTCACACAAAATGAGTTGTATTTAATTGTGTGTATGTGTGTGTCTGAAAGACAGTATGTGATATTTGCATAGGAAATGAAATTTGTACAGGTTTGAACACTTTCTATTTGAAAACATTGCATTTATCTATTTTAAGGCAATGGGCAACACTTCCTGTATGTCAACTCATCTGGCCCGAGAGAAGGATACACTGCACGGATCACTACTTCCAAATACTTCCCAGCAAGCCTTGGAATATGTACTGTCCGGTTCTGGTTCTACATGGTTGATCCCAACAATATGGGAATATTAAAGGTAAAAAAGGAAGACAGAGATTTGAGTTCACTGAAATATTCATAATGTGTTTAAGCACTGTTTTCCTTTTCTTCTACTAACTTGTTTTTTTTTTTTTTTGGTAATCACGACACCAATTCTCATTCCATTGATTGCTCATTTCTTTCTGGGACAACAGGATCTTGGCAAACAGTACTGTCATTCATCTTAATTTTATTCAAGTTTTATCTCATTGATGGGTGCCACCTGAACTTTATTATAGTGCATGACATTTAAAAGTTTATCTGAGGATAAAAGCGTATGGGCACATTCTGTATGTTCTTTCTGAATATATAGTAACAGTAAACAAATGTGATGTGAGGGATAATGATGAAGAATATTTTATATCCAGAACATAGTAAAGACAAAGCAAATTTAAGATTTTAACTATGTATCAGCTTGCACTAAAAACAGCACATCTCCCTATTTTTAACTAATTTAAAACAAGAATCTGCACCAAATACAGATGTCTTTAAAGAAACACGTTGCTTCGTTTATATGTCTAATTCTATGAACGATCAAGAAGCTTTTCAATTATCATGAACTGATTTTGAAATCTTGGTTTTTAATTAGGTGTTGTGTTCTGATATATAATCTTTTAATTACACAATCACTTGTTTGAATAAATATTATTGGAATTTTTGTCTTTACCTCAAACATTGGCCCTTGTTAACGGTAAGAGCTATTATTAAGTGCATCCCATCTTCCAGGGTGTGCATTGTAAACTTCATATGTGTTTTCAATTTTAATTTTCACATTTACCTGATGAGATAAATATTTTTTCCCAGTTTTTCAACAAACCTAGATTCAAAGAGGTTTAGTTAGTAATGTTTCCAATATTAAAAAATTAGCAACATATCTAAATTCAAAGTTATTATTTTTATCCATTACCCAGTGTTGTTTCTCAAGGTCTCTGCAGTTTAGCAAAGAAGTTAAAGAGATGTATGGGGAAAAGATACAAAAGAAAAAGAATAAGTAAGTCTTAGCCATTGACAGAAATGGAAGCTCATATCAAGTAAAAATATAAATGTGCAAAAATAGTGGAGAATTTATACTGATTCTATGAGGATTTGTTTTCCCAAAGGGGAGCCAGTAAAACAGCAGAGAAAGAGATTCAATTTTTTTTTTCTTTTTATATTTTATTGTACTTCAGGTGAAGGCTTACAGAACAAATAGTTTCTCATGAAACAGTAGTACACATGTTGTTTTATGACA